CACAGCACTTCAGTTAGCATGGCAGGGATGGGTAGTACACGAATGTGAGTAATCTTCGTTCTTTTAGCTCCGTGTGGCCTGGATTCGCTTTACCACACGACAAAGTTTAGCAAAGGTTTAAAATCAATGCATAGTTATAAACACAGCCACAAGTGCATGGGAAGCCTGCAAACACGAAAGCTAGGCAAATCTGTGAAGTATCCATCATTCCCATGGCAACTGAACGACTGCAGTGCCAGAGTTACTTTTAGGAAACTATGAGACCATATAAGTCCCCAGGATCTTGCAATTACACCTTGTTTTATTTTTGAATCAATTAAAAACAATGCTTTGCTGGGCTGAAATGCCATTCGAAGTATCCCAGGATCATTGCTTGCTTAGATGCCTTATCATTCAACCTTGTATAGGTGGGAGCCAGTCCTTACGCATGTACCTGTTCAAATAAACATCCGTGCATATGACTGCCTGATTTCTGCAAGGATTATAAGATGCAATAAGACTTCACAATTCAATAGTATGCACTTGTGAAACAGATATTAAATTCAATGCAGCAAATAGTTCAACTGCCTCTTGCAACACAGCATACGCCAGGTAGAAAATGCTGCAAAGGCAAATATATTCTGGAAATTGTTTTGCAAAGCCTTCACAGGCACGGTGGCAAATATATCGGTTAATGCCAGCAATGCCTATTTTCTGCGAAGCTCTGAAAGCTCTTGCACGAGTTGTCTAAAATGCCTATACACTTCTTCAGCCAATGAACTTGGCGTTTCACTGCAATGTAATGTTAAAATCAGAGAAAATAGTAAACCGGCTCAAAGATTTATAAGCTGTTGTAAAAAGAAAAAACAATATACTTCTTAATTTTGAAGAAGCATTCTGAACAAAAGTAGACTAACTGAGGCTGCCACAAGTGGCCTTGAAAATGTAAAAATATTTGCCAACGGAAGCTGCTTGTAAAAAGTGGAGGCCACGCATTTTAGTCAGCTGTACACATCGATGCTCAATCTGTGTAATGCTATGAAAATATTCATAAGAGCACCTATAGACACCGCATAATACACCCAGTTTATTAGGTCTTTTGGCATTGAGGATAAAAGAGAGCTTATTCCTTTGCATACATTCGTAATATTTTTGCAGTTATGAAGATTAGAAGTTTGACAACTGCTGGCATACTAGTTTATGTTTCTTAAAGAGATGTGGAGATCTAAAAATCCAGAAGCCCCAAAATATAAATTTTGACAAGTGCGAGGATATCTAAATGCAGAGCTTTGAAATGTTATGCTCACACCTCTTATTTATTCTGTATATGAAGTTTCGATTCAGCAAGGCATTATACAAGTATCGATGTTTATATGCCTCATGACTTGCATGTGTCTTTGCACAAGTTTTTCACTGCCATTCAGGGTTGTTGCAAGTATTGTACTGAGCATGTGTTCCTCTCTCCCCCTAAAATATCCCTGGTGACAGCACTGTTGCCAGCACCATAAATGAAGCAATGCAGGTATGACTACAGTGCTAAATGCATGAAACACCTCGACATTGAGGTCTCGTCATACAAACTAGCTAATCTCAAACTTTGCGAATGATTGGGCTACGACCCAAGTGGTGCAAGGGTTCGTTGAGAGAAGAAAAAAAGTAATAAAAGTGAACTGCTCTCTTTGCCCTTTCAGATACCACCGATGAAGAACTGTATGTACTTGTGTGAAACTGACATTTCAAGGCACTCGATATTCTATTGCAACAAAAATAGCGGCAAAACACGAGGTGCGTTCAAAAAGAAACCGAACTTTTGCTTTGCTGTAGTCTTTGGCTTTGTTTCTCGGCCACAGATATGGCCAAACAAAAAAAAATCATCTTGGAAATGCCGCCTGCTGCCTTAGTCCATATCACAACTATGCGACATCTGGTGGAGGTGGTTTCTTTCATGTTCTGGGCGCCCCCATCAAGCCATGAACCCAGCTCCAGTGCCAAAAAAGATACCCGACGCCAACTTTGAGCCTGACATCATCAACTTCTTCAAACATTAATCTTTTTTAGATTACTGCGTAATTTTCAATAAAATAACTAGTGGTAATGGCAGTTCATTTCTCTCATTTTTCTAATCTTACCTCAACACTGTAGCAGCTTGGTGCAGCACATAGCAAATAGATTTAAACATGCGTAAATGTAAGCAAATGTGCGTAAGAAGATTTGCAGACATCTTCTTAACATACTAGGCAAATGTCCTCATATAAATAGTCAGCTCATATCAATAATTAGGTGTTCTTATCACATTGAACTTACCTCAGGCACCTCACACTGAATATGTTACTAATAATGCCGATTACAAGTTAGGCTACATACATTGCAACTTTTTGAAACCACAATATACACTAAAACTACTCCTATATGATACATTATTACGTCCCAAACTTGAATATGCCTCATCTGTGCGAGACCCTTGCCACGACAACTTGATTCAATTGTTTGTACAGAATATCTCCATCCGCTTGAAACCTTCTCACTATAATTTCATTGCTGGTATAACTTCAATGAAATCCAGCCCAAGCCTTCCTTCTTTTGCGCCCCCTTGGAATATATCCTTTTTGGCATCATTTCACGAATTATTCTGCCATACCACCCTGCATGACCAGCTAATCTTGAATCCTCAGTACATATCCTATTGCAGTGACCTTGTTAGAAGGTTGGCATCGCATTGTGCAACTCCTAGTGTCTTCATCTTGTACATTGGTAAATTGAAACCAACTACCTGAAGACACGTCACTATTAGTAATTGTTTTCCAAAAAACTTTACTCAGTATTCTGTAATTATCCAAAATAGACTAACTAATATTCTGTATTTACAGGCTGAATTATGCATTGTGTTTGTCCTTACACAGCTAACATTGTATAATGATGAGTTTCTTCTTTGTTTAATAACTTTTCATGCTGCATTTTCCTTGTCTACTTTGTAACCAGTCCTTTCTATTAATGCCGTAAGGATTTTGAGAGTAAATAAAATAAAAATAAATATGCAACTGTATGCTGCAAAACGAAGATAAATGAAGAGATTAGAAAGTCAATATATTTTGGTGTTTCTTAGCCCCTACAAATAAAATAGAAAAATCAAGTGGTGTACACAATTGTGTACATTGCGTGTCAAACGGCTGACATTCACGCAGCATTCCTTGCAAGCAGTAAAAGCCGATGCTTTAGTCCTTTCTACGCCAACTTAGTCAGATTTCAGGGGTTGGCACTCATTTAAGAAGTGGGGTTTGCTTGTTTGGGATTAAACAAAACCAACTTCATGCTTCATAAACTAAAATTTTTCAGGCAAAGTAACATGTAGTGTCAACATTTTCAGGCTTGCTCTTGTAATTGTTACAGTTCATTTATAATTTTAGTGAAGGAAAAGGTTAAATTATGCGACAGCTTTCTGTTAGTAGCAACAACAAAGCATTCAGAAATGTACGCGACTGCCTCAAATCTTCTAAGTTTAGTTTTATTTATTTATTTTTGCGTGTGTTGTGTCGTGGGAGTGTCCGTTGGTCACTCGAGGGGGCCGTCCTCCTTGTTTACGGGCACCAGTGATCGGCGAGCCTCCAAGAGCTGCGGGCGACGGGTCAGCACAAAGGCGGCGGCCCGCTTTATTGCACCTTGCGAGTTCGGATGCAAGAAGAGGGAAACATGCCGCTTTGTGCATCCGTGGCCTGTGGGATGTTCGACACTGCTTCCTCGAAAGGCGAAGCAACGGACTTCCCCCACTGACTTCGTGGAACAATTCCTGCACGTGTGTTTAAGTGTGTGTGTGTGTGTGTGTGTGTGTGTGTGTGCGCGCGCGTGCGTGCGTGTGTGTGTGTGTGTGTGTGTGTGTGTGTGTGTGTGTGTGTGTGTGTGTGTGTGTGTGTGTGTGTGTGTGTGGGGGCGCGCGTTTGTGTCAGCGTGCGCGTATGTGTACTCGGCTCTGTGGTCGAGAAAGGAGAGCGAAAAAGCGCGGGAAGAGCCAGAGACGCTGCGAGAACGGCGAGCGAACAGGAGTCTGCGAATTGCGAGCGACTTGAGCGGTTGTGCGTTGTGCAATGTGCGGAATTCAACGGTTGCGCGAGTAATAATGTAACCTAGTTTTCTTAATTAAATACAGCCTTCTTTTGTTTCCAATTTCTTAACGGTGCGTGAGTCGTGTGTTGTGTCTTCTATCAGTTTTCACCTTTTTACGGCCATACCGGGGACACCCTAAATTTTACCAAAAGCGGGATAGAGGACGCTAACACTCATCAGAAGTGGGATTTGACCAATTTTAAAAAAACGTTCGGAACGAGTTTGAAAAATCTTAACGAAGAGTGCGATTCCGTCAGTGCGAGAACAAAGAAATGGTGGACTTCCAGTGAGCGAGCACTTCCAGAGAGCTAACATCAGCCATGCTGGACGGATCATCGCCGGAGGAGAGTGGTCACCGTGATGACGACGACTGTGCTGGGCTCACCAAGCGGGAACTTTGCGACGCTTTGCGCGAGAAAGACCGCTTGTTGGCAGACCTGCTGCGGTGGCTGCCTCAGCCGGAGTCGTCGGGGGCTCAACACCAGGCGGCCGTCAACACGTTTCAGTTGATGCCCGATTTGAGCAGGAATATTCCAGACTTTTCCGGTGATGGTTGCGCGTCAGCAGCCCGGGAATGGATGGAAAGTTTGCGCCAGACGGCTACGCTTCACCGGTGGCCAACGCCATTCCTGCTTGAAACTGTCAAGTGTCACCTGGTCGGTGCCACAAAAGATTGGTACCGTTCGAGAGCTGCCGAAATTTTATCTTGGGACGATTTCGAGCGGATGTTTGGGCGGACTTTCTACAGCCAGACTCGGGCGGCGGAGCGATGGAGGCGTATGCAAGAGTGAATGCAGCAGCGAAATGAGAACACGGCTGCGTACTTCCACGAGAAGGTGCGCCTTTGCAGAGAGGCGCATTTGGATTTCTGTGATACGAGGGAGCAGGTGCTGACCGGTCTCCGATCGCGGGAGTTATGCACGATGCTTCTTGGAAGGTCACACGAAGACGCGGATGACCTGTTGCACGACATTCAGGAATTTGAGAGGATCGACCGTGAGCGACGAGAACGCTTCGGGACAGCGGCTGAGCGAAGAGCGACGAGCGATGCACCTCGTATGCAACCTACACCCAAGGCACTGCTGCAGGGTGCGTCCGGGTACGACTGGCGGGACCAGCGGCCAGCTGTCACAAATCAGACGGTGAGCGAAAATGTTATAATTGTTTCAAATTCGGACACATTTCGCGGGATTGCCCAGAGGAAAGACGAATAGAAAAATGTCTAAAATGTGGGAAGACTGGGCATATCCCAAAACACTGCCAAGTAAAAGGCCCCAGAAATGAGACCAACGCTGTCTCTGGAGAGAAAATTGACCCTGGCGTGCTTTTTAAGCACGTTAAATGGAATGGCAATGAGACTTTGATTGGCATGATAGACACAGGCAGCTCCGGTTGCTTACTACGCGAATCAGCGGCGGTGCGGCGCGGAGAGGGAATGCTGGAAGGTGCTCCAGCTCTGTATGATTTCTGCAGCCAGGGCGTTCCAGCTGCTCGTGCGATTGGCAGGTTCTGGGCCGACTTGCTGATAGATGGCGTCGTTGGCAAGAACATACCGATACTTGTTGTACCCGACGAGGCCCAGTCGGTTGATTTGCTTGTCAGCCGCACGTTTACCGAGCTGCCATATGAGACCTACGCTAGGCTGGGCGGCAGCTTGCAATTCTGGCATAGAGACGAGTGCCCATTCTCACATCTCGAACCCTTCGTTTCATGTTTGAAATTACGTTTGAAAACTGCTGAAGAGACCCCACTGCAGGCCAATCTTATAAATTGGGTGAGACTGTCATCGCAGTCAAACGTCACTGGTGCAGTGCTATTCAACAACTGTGGGTGCGAAATTCTTGTTGACATGGAGGACGGAGAGGTTATTGTGCCGGTGTTTACGAGCGGAAATGATGATGTGGTTCTACGTAAAGGACAAAGACTTGGCCACGCGACAGAGGTGGACATCCCGGGTTGCGAGATGAAGAAAATAAATGAGTGCAGAGAGGAGTGCAGCGCCGCGAAGCCAGAGCAAATTCTGGTTACGGAGGCGCGACGGCCGATTGGGAGCGAGGAAATGAAAATGGGCCCCTCCGTAACAGAGGAGCAGCGTCGTGAGCTCGCATGCCTCCAAAATGAGTACCAGGATTGTTTCGCCGCCAATCTCAGTGAACTTGGCTGCACACCTGCCCTTTCGATGGACATACAGGAGATACCTGGTAGCACACCCGTGACTGTTCGGCCCTACCGCACAAATGCAGCAAAGCTAGAGGCTATACGAGACATCGTCGGAGAGTGGAAAAGAGAGGGAATCGTAACTGAGACACAATGCGAGTATGCGAGCCCAGTCATTCTCGTCGAAAAGAAAAATGGAGAGCCGCGCGTGGTAGTATACTATCGTCGGCTGAACGCTCAGACGATAAAGGAGAAGTATCTCTTGCCAGCTATCGATGACCAGCTCGAGGGTCTTGCCGGGGCCAAACTATACGTCGTCCTTGACCTGGCACATGGATACCTCCAAGTCCCTTTGGCCAAAGAGGCCAAAAAAAACTGCATTTATAACTCCTGATGAGACAGGGTAATTCGAGCGCATAATGTTTGGACTAACGAATGCCCCGTCCGTGTTCCAGCGTCTGATGAATCATGTGTTGGGACCACTGAGAGGTAAGGTTGCTATGTGCTACCTTGACAACGTGTTAATACCAGCCAAAGACTGGGATGAGCTCGTATTGCGTCTGCGCCTGGTACTTGAGGCATTCCGAAGAGCTAATCTGACACTCCGGTTCAACATGCACAGTAAAAAATGTTACACCCGAAAGGGTGTAAAAAGGGTGCTTTTACAAAAAAGCACCCTTTGCAACACCCTTTAACACTTATAAATGATTGATTGAAAAAAGCACCCATTTAATTGGGCGCTTACCTCGATAGCACCCTAAAATAGGCTCTGAGGGTGCTTTTCTGCCTGACAAGGGTGAAGGTGACGATTCATAAGATGGAATATGCAACATAAGAAGAACACATAATTATAATAATTGGGATTTTACGTCTCAAAAACCTCGATATGATTATGAGGGTCGTCGTAGTGGAAAGCTCTAGAGATTTTGACCATTTGGTGTTCTTTAATGGGCGCTGATACGGCACAGTGCACAGGCTTCTACCTTTTCGCCTCCATCTGAATTCGACTGCCACGGCCGGCATCGAACCCGCGACCTTCAGATTGGCGGCCGAGCAGCGTAGCTACTGCACGAATATGTGGACCTTGCGTTAATGACGGCCTAGACTTAGAATGTGTGAAGGTGCTCTCCGAATACAGCCGAATGCCGGCAGAAGCAAATAGCGTTTCATCTATAATGGCAATTGACTGCAATCCACGTTACGAAAGCTCACCTTAGCGTTGGTTATAAGTTACATGTTTCCTGTGGATTATATACAGAAACATAATGTTCGCCCGAGTATGGGTGTGTGTGCGTGAGCCTTCGCATGTGTTCGCGTGTAAGCGCGACTGTGTGTACACCCGTGCATGTGTGCGTGCGCGTGTATGTGCGAGTCCGTGCTTGTGTTAAGTGTGCCTGTGCGCATGTGTACGCCCATGCATGCGTGCGTTTACGGTCGCGTGTGTGTTGCCGTATGTTTGTATACGTGTATGTGTGTGCGCCTGTGAATAAGTATGCGTGTGTATCAGCTCGTGCGCCCTCAAATTTTGTGTGTGTGCGCGGGGGGGGGGGGGCACTGCTTCTTAGTGTTTAAGGTCCCACACCTGTTAAGACTGGGAGTCTATATGGGAGGTGGTTTAAGAAATGGCGGTGGTCAACGCACTGTACATGGACTATTCAGTACATGGAAAACAGCTGCACATTTTCGTACCTCATCATTGCTTACGAACTTGCTGTGGTAGCTGATTAGGTCCGCTGAGGCGCTTCTACGCTCGAAAACGTGGGTTATGACCAATTCACATGGAAAGCTGTCACTGCACTTATGCACAACCATCGTTTATATTAACAACGTTTACCAAGAACGTGCCCTGCCTTTGCTACAGGTGCTTAGCTAGCTCATTGGGCAACCATATGGAATTATGTGCTGATCATGTGGTCAGCAAAAAGTTTGTTATAACAACCTCGGCACGTTTCGTGGTGCGTGACAAGCCTTCTAAACATCCGTGACTGTGGATTAATTTGTTTCAGCTTAGACTACGCATTCAGTGTTTACGGCACCATACGCGGAATCGCCAGACACAGACAGCGCGAAAAGAAATTCCTCTGGAAAAAGGTGTAGCAATGCTCTTCCGCTAATGCCACCGAGGACGAACTAATTATTGTTTCTGGCCATTCCATGGTGCACTTTGTTTTCCGCAAGTTTTGCTTCACTATTTTTTGCCCACTGCAATCGCATTCCATCAAAATACTCAAAGAACCCGAGGCTGGTAAATAACCTGCGTCGCTGTGCGACTGGCTGGAAGGAGAGTTGCCATTTACAAGGAGTCATTCCGCGTCGAACAGCCGTCCGCCGTATGCGCCATAGCGTTTGCCTTTCGGCGCCGTCTCTCCGGGTTTCCCGCTCCTCCCCCCTTGCTCACCCCAGCCAGCGTTGCTCCCACAACGGCGGCGTAGATAAGCGAATAATTGCGTCACTGAACACCTGCGTCGACAGCTGCGGCGCCGCCGCCAGTGCCTCCTCCTTCTCTCTCTCAACGTTGCTTTCTCTGTCTCATCGTCTTTCAAATGCGTTGCGTAGGTCTTGGGTCTTGGTCGCTGTGTGTGTTCTAGCGAACAGGCGCATATTCAATAGTGGTCACGCATGACACCGTATTCGAAGTGACGATCGGATTAAGGAATATTCATGGAGTGGCGGACACGGACAACGTGGGCCTATTAACGTTGAGTGTACTGTTTTCGTAGGTAGTAATCATACAGCGCTAGCTGGGCGCCTGCAGCAGCTCTGCCGAAGTAGGCTGCCAGCCATTTACAACAGCATGCGTTCGCGGGCCTGTTGCAGATGCCCGATTAAACGTGTGACTTAACGAGTTCACACTGCTATGCGCGATGTTGTGTAAATACCTGCGTCACTCATACAGTGAGTGATGTGATCACTTAAAGAGGGCGGGATTAGTTGCTGATCGCACATTGTCTCTACACTGCATGAAGTGATTGATATTGTTTTAAGATGTGCTTTGGGCTACATCGTAATAACATTTCTATTAATACTCAAATGTGCTACGTGATTCTGTAGGTGTAAGCGTAAAGAAAGAAAGAAAAATGAAAAAGTATGTACAGTGGCGCACTGTACGAAATGGTTTTTTTTGCTTAAAGACGGTATAGTTGGAGGGGCTGATATGCCGCGATGCTCCCAGCACGTGCGCCTTGGTCTTTTAAGCTATTTAGGACTAGTGGCACCAGCAAGAGGGAATGATCTAGCAGACTTCCAAAGGCGCGTTGTTGTGGCCATCGCCGTGCGTTGTTTTCCCTCGTTTCTGTTTGCTGTTTTCGTGCTTCGCCTTCATCTGCGATAACGTTCGGCGTTATAACAGAATCGAGAGAGTATACGTGACTGTGGGAGCTATGTGCGGTAGCTCTAGCATAAGCCACGGCTGCTGCAATGTAGACGGCGTCCGCGCGCATTGGTGTCGTTCGAGCGCTCCTACTTGCTTGACTGTGTTTAACTGAGTATTTAGGCACGGGTTACGTTTGTAAATCCCGTGATCAATTATCGCTAATTGCGTGCCCCTGATTGCCATTAGAGGATGGGCTTGGTTGTCGAAATAGGCCAGACGCTTTTTCTGAAAGCAAGCTTTGAAAAAAAATCTTAAGAAATACTTTCATACGTGCTAGGCAGTGCCTATTGCAGGCCCGCAACTCTTTATAAACTGGACGAGCTATCACATCTTTTATCAAATTACAATGAATTTAGATGATTGAATTATAGATGACGAATTTCTGTGCTAGATTGGGTGCACAAAACACATGTTCGCAGCCCTACGTCTAGAAAGCAGGCAAATAGGAAGCACCGCGTCAAACTTGGATTAGATTCCATTGACGGAGCGTCTTGTGAGGGTAGAAAGAACGAGAAAATTGTTCATTTTTGGTGCCCTTATAGAGGCAATCAGAATTGCACTGATTGGTGACTTGTAACAATTCCTCAGATATTTAGAGGCGTGATTAAAGTCAGTAAATCTTTTACTTTTTTTGCAGACGTCTTCGCTAGTGCCACGCCCAAGATCATTTCATCATCATCATCAGCCTGTCTACGTCCACTGCAGGACAAAGGCCTCTCCCATGTTCCGCCAGTTAACCCGGTCCTGTGCTTGCTGTTGCCAATTTTTACCCGCAAACTTCTTAATCTCATCTGCCCACCTAACCTTCTGTCTCCCCCTACCCCGCTTCCCTTCGCTGGGAATCCAGTTGGTGACCCTTAATGACCAGCGGTTATCCTGTCTACGTGCTACATGCCCGGCCCATGTCCATTTCCTCTTTTTTATTGCAGCTCTGATATCCTTAACTCCCGTTTGTTTCCTAATCCACTCTGCTCTCTTCTTGTCTCTTAAGGTTACACCTACCATTTTTCTTTCCATTGCTCGCTGCGTCGTCCTACAATTTAAGTTGAACCCTCTTTGTGAGTCTCCAGGTTTTTGCTCCGTAGCTAAGTACCGGCAAGATACAGCTGTTATATACCTTCCTTTTGAGGGACAGTGGCAATCTACTTGTCATAATTTGAGAGTGCCTGCCGAATGTGCTCCACCCCATTCTTATTTTTCTAGTTACTTCAATCTCGTGGTTAGGCTCTGCGGTTATTACCTGCCCTAAGTAGACATAGTCTTTTACAACTTCAAGTGCACTATTACCTATCGCAAAGCACTGCTCCTTTCCGAGGTTGTTGTACATTACTTTCGTTTTCTGCAGATTAATTTTAATACCCACCTTTCTGCTCTCCTTGTCTAACTCCGTAATCATGAGTTGCAATTCGTCCCCTGAGTTACTCAGCAATGCAATGTCATCAACGAAGCGCAGGTTACTGAGGTACTCTCCATTAACTCTTATCCCTAACTGTCCCCATTCTAGGCTTCTGAAAACGTCCTGTAAGCACGCAGTGAATAGCATTGGGGAGATTGTGTCCCCCTGCCTTACACCCTTCTTTATTGGTATTCTGTTGCTTTCTTTATGAAGAACTATGGTTGCAGTTGATCCCCTGTAGATTTCTTCCAGAATGTTTATATATATATTTCATCTACGCCCTGATTCCGCAGTGTCTGCATGACGGCTGTTATTTCTACTGAATCAAACGCCTTCTCGTAATCTATGAAGGCTATGTATAGTGGTTGGTTATACTTTGAGCATTCTCTATTACCTGATTGATAGTATGAATGTGGTCAATTATTGAGTAGCCTATTCTAAATCCTGCTTGTTCCTTTGGTTGATTGAATTCTAATGTTTTCTTTACTCTGCTAGGAATTATCTTTGTAAATAGCTTGTATACTACAGAGAGCAAGCTGATCGGCCTGTAATTCTTCAAGTCCTTGTCATCTCCTTTCTTATGTATTAGGATGATGTTAGCGTTCTTGCAAGACTCTGGTACTTT